ACACATACAGACATACAAACCGACACACAAAGTTAGCGCTTTATAAAATAGAAGGATTATCTTCCAAATAAATGTGCTAGTGTAAAAAAAACACTTTTCTAACTGCGCGCCCGGTGAGCGGTCGATACCTTTTCGCTCTGACTGATATTTCTTTGGTCCTTCGACTATTTGAGGCGGCAAGTGTTATTCAACGATTTCAGCTGTTATTCAGCTACGCATCTATTCATCTGGTTAACTTTTTCATTCGAAATCGGCTCGTGAGTGGTTTACTCCCGTCTACACTCTGTTTTCGGCATATTCAGTCTCAGTGGTGAGAGTGCTGTCATTGATCAGTTTCACTACTGACCTGCTGGACGTTCACCTGTGCTTATCGAAGCCGTATTTGTTGTGTACTACGTTGCTTAGTGTGGCACCTAAGCTGTCTATTACTTTAGTGGTTGCCACCCCTACAGGTACATCGTTCTCCTACGAGTTTGAGTTACTACAGCGTGTGTCCTGGATTGATTTTTCTTGATCTATTCTACGTGCGGTGCGGTTCTGTCATGGACGCAGCAGTTGGTTCACCCATGCGAGCTGGTCTTTGCGAACGTGAGACAGACAGCTGGACGGACTTGCGTTGGAAAGTTGATGAAATCACCAAATCCAGGCGGGTCGCTGATCCAGTCAAGAAGGTCATATCAGCCATCATGACCGAGTTGAACTTGCTCCGCGCAGAGAATTCTAGCCTTAAGCAGGAAATCAGAGAGCTTCGCGATAAAAGTAGTCCGACTTCTGATGTAGCGAATGAGATTGCACATTCGAGTTCTTGTCCTAGTCAAGGTATCCGAGATGTTTCTGTTAATGCAGCTAACTCTGATCAGAATATGTCGTACTCTGAAGTTGAAAGATTACGTTCGATTGTTTTAAGCGGTCTGCCTGGGTCTAGTTCTGCTAGTGCTAGGATGCGTTTATGTGAAGATTTTCAAAGTGTCTGTAATATAATAGACTTCCTCGGAATTGAATGTAATCCGATAACTGTGTACAGAATGGGAAGGCCTTCTAATAAGTGTAGGTTAGTAAAGGTAGTTTTTCCGTCACGCATGTTTCAACGTAGTGCTGTGATAAGAGCTCCACGCCTACGCTTTCATCCTGTGCGTGGGATTTTCCTTCGGAAATCTCTCACTGAAGAGGAGAGGGTGAGGAGGCAGGAGCTCCGTCGGAGCTTTAACGAAGGGGTGCCACAGACTCTTCCAGCAGGGGCCGCTCCTGCTTCAACGAGTACTAAGGCTCCACTTCTTACTGCTCCCAATTCGGATGTTGTTAATCAGGAAAAGTAGATGCGTTCTCCGCGGTTCTCTAGAAGACTGCTTATGTTTTTTTATTCGAATGTCAGGTCAATTTCGAAAAACTCGAGTTACATTGATACAGTCCTAGCTAATAGATTCGATATCTATGCGTTTACAGAGACGTGGCTCAAACCCAGCCATAACATGGCGTGTATTCTGAGCTCTTTTGGTAACGATTACGACATTCATAGGTGTGACCGTGCAAAAAAGACCGGGGGAGGAGTCATCTTATTGGTGCATGCCGGGCTCGGTGTATCACTAGTTTTTAAGGAATCGGTAAACGATGCTTATGAAATACTATGTGCCGACATTTTTCACGACTTATCTAATTTTCGGGTCATTGTTGTGTACAGGGCTCCGGGTTGCGTTATGGCTCATACCGAGCAGCTCATAAAGGCTCTTAGTGATTTGGTCGCATGTGACCTCCACTCTATAATAGTTGGCGACTTCAACGTGCCAGGGTTAGTTCAGGGTGGGATGCCTGAAGCAAATAAGAATATACTTCCGTGTTTACAACAATTTATACATACTCATAATTTAACACAGCATGTTCTCAATCCAACTAGAGAAAGGAATATTCTAGGACTTGGTTTTCAGCACCAATAGAAGTCTAGTTTGCAATCTAAATATTCTGCCTCCTGTTGGGCAAAGTGACCACAACAGTGTTGGTTTCGAAATCAGCTGTTATGAATCTCTTGCTCAGCCAGTTTATTGCAGATCATACTCAACCTGTAATTTTGGCAGTCTGTGCGCAGACCTTGCCAGAATTAGGTGGGTTGATCTTCTAGAAACAAGGAGTACTGTCAACGAAAAATACGAATTGTTTTTGTCAGTTCTGCACGCGGCAATTGAATACTACGTTCCGTGGAAGCTTGTGTCGTCATTTAAATCAGTCAAGCTTCCAAAGTATTTGCAAAGCATGATGGAGCACCGAGATTGTCTTTTCTTAGATGCTAGGCGGACTGGTATTTGGTCGGAATACAAGGAATTCAATAAGTCTTTC